TGTTAAATAATTTATAAAAAATGATTAACATTTATGGGAAATGATTAAAAAATATTCCATTCAGTTGCTGTATTGCAGCCGTAGCTATAAGTCAATGAGAGAGAGAGACAGGTTAAATGTGGTTATTATTACTTTTATTGTTGGCTTTTTCCCTGAGGGCCATGTCCGCTAGGGTCCAGGAGGAGGATTCATCGGCTGTTCCACCAAATATTATCATAATTTTGGCTGATGATTTGGTAGGCTTGGCAAAAGGAAAATCTCTATTTTTCAAAAAAAAAAAAAAAAAAAAAATTTTCTGAGGTACGAATATTTTTAAAATTACCAAATATTTTCACAAATCCCTCCAGGGTTTTGATGATGTCAGCTTTCGCGGCAACAATGTATTTTTGACACCCAACATCGATGCCTTGGCCTATCATGGCAAGATATTGCAACGGCACTATGCCCCAGCCATGTGTACACCATCAAGGGCGGCCTTGCTGACGGGATTATATCCCATACATACGGGTAAGGAGGCAGAGGGATTCTACTGACTAAAAACATGATTAAAACCTACAAATTCCTCTATCCCCCTCAGGAAGCCAACATTTTGTGCTCATCAACGAGGAACCCTGGGGAATTTTGAAAAATCACACCACCATGGCGGGGGTATTTCAGGCGCATGGTTATTCCACAAATTTGGTGGGTAAATGGCATTTGGGCATGGGTCGCAAAGAGTATACGCCCACCTTCAACGGGTTCGATCAACACTATGGCTATTGGGGAGCCTTTGTAGACTACTACAGGAAAATGAGTAAAATGCCGGTAAGTTTTGAATTTTGGGATTTTTTACATTTGGTTGTAATGTCTTTACTTCCAAGACCAATTTCAGTTTGGGTTATGATTTTCAAAGGAATATGGATTTGGAATGTCCCCCCGAGGGTTCATATGTAACCGATTTGCTAACCCAGGAGGCAGAGGATATTATTTTGAGAAATTCCGGTACAAAGCCTTTATTTTTGCTGGTCTCCCATTTGGCCACCCATGCCGGCAATGATGATAATCCCTTGCAGGCTCCCTTGGAGGAGATTGAGAAGTTTTCCTATATTTCGGATGTGAAGAGGAGAACCTATGCAGGTGAGGATACAAATTTTCATTTTGAGAGAAGTCTTCCATAAAAGACGGCCTCAGATGAGGTCTTCCATAAAAGACGGCCTTAGATCTGGTCTTTTATAAAAGACGGCCTCAGATGAGGTCTTCCATAAAAGACAACCTCAGATGAAGTCTTCCATAAAAGGAGGCTGCAGATGAGGTCTTCCATAAAAGACGGCCTCAGATGAGGTCTTTCATAAAAGACGGCATCGGATGAGTTCTTCCATAAAAAACGGCCTCAGATGAGGTCTTCCATAAAAACGGCCTCAGATGAGGTCTTCCACAAAAGGCGGCCTCAGATGAAGTCTTCCATAAAAGACGGCATCGGATGAGTTCCTCCATAAAAAAACGGCCTCAGATGAGGTCTTTCACAAAAGGCGGCCTCAGATGAAGTCTTCCATAAAAGGAGGCCTCAGATGAGGTCTTTCATAAAATACGGCCTTAGATGAGTTCCTCCATAAAAAACGGCCTAAAATGAGTTCCTCCATAAAATACGGTCTCAGATGAGGTCTTCCACAAAAGACGGTCTCAGATAAGGTCTCCAAAAAATACGGTCTCAGATGAGTTCCTGAATAAAATACGGCCTTAGATAAGTTCCTCCATAAAATACGGCCTCAAATGAGTTCCTCCATAAAAAACGGCCTAAAATGAGTTCCTCCATAAAAAACGGACTCTATAAAAAATGGCCTCAGATGAGATCATCTGCAAAACACGCCCTCTTTTGAGGCCTTCCTGAAAAGTTCTTCTTTCTTCTTAGCCATGGCTTCCAAGTTGGATGAAAGTGTGGGTCGCATTATTCAGGCTCTGGATAAAGCTCAAATGCTAAGCAACTCCATTATTTTATTCCTCTCCGATAATGGAGCCCCCTCGGTGGGTCTGTACAGCAACACTGGCTCCAATTGGCCATTGAAGGGGGTAAGTTATCTCATCGAATTCCAAATTATAATCTCAGAACCATTTTCTCCTCTCAGCAAAAAAATTCTCCCTGGGAGGGTGGCCTACGCGTTCCTGGTGTCATTTGGAGTCCTTTGTTGAAAAATCCTGGATCGATTTTTCATCCGCCCATATATATGGCGGATTGGTTGCCCACATTGGCGGCGGCAGCCGAAATTGAATTGAATCTCCCCCTGGATGGCTTAAATCTATGGCCTGATTTGGTGGATGGTGTTGAATTATTCGACCCATTTGAACGGCAACGTGAAATCGTTCATATACTGGATGAGATTTGGAACGTAACCAGCTATATGAGGGGTCAGTGGAAATATATTCGAGGAACAACCATAAATGGCGAATACGATCGGCTGCTGATGCAAAGAGACCGAAATACCACAGATCCCAGATCCTTGGTCTATGAAAAGGCGATTCAATCTTCCATGGTCTCCCTAAGTCTTCGAAAATATGATTGCATACCGTTGTCAAAAAAGAAGATCCAAAAATTTCGTTCCGGCGCCGAAATCCATTGTGATCATGAGGAGAAGGAGGCAACACCCTGTGATGCCACCCGCGAAGAATGTCTCTATGATCTAGCCAAAGATCCTTGTGAGCAACACAATTTAGCCTCTCAGCCAGGATATGAAAGTATTTTACAAGAATTCCGAGAGAGAGTGGAGAGTCTCAGATCCACAGCAGTGCCTCCGAAGACCGGTGGTAGCCTGCTGAACTATGATCCATCCTATCATTATTGTGTGTGGTCGAATTTTGTGGAAGAGGAGATGACAATTTGTAGGTTTGCTGTCAATTTTTAAGGGAAACAACTTTTAAAGCTCCCCTTTCTCTCTCGTTTTCAGATAGACGGCAATGCACCTATGAGTCGGGACCTTGTCGAAAAATTCTACCAAATTCATGGCATTCTTTTTTATTCTATGAAATATCCTTGTGTATTTTGCTTCTATTATCATTTCGAATCATTGCAAAATGTAGGCGGCGTAAGAATACTGAAAATGTAGACGTAGTACCGGATAGAGAGCATTTGCAGGATTTGTTATCGGCACATGTCTAGATTCGATTCCATAAAAATTTCGAGGAAAAAAAATTAGAATAAATTTTAATATTTTTAAAACTAAAATAAAACAAAACATTTCCGATAACTACATTTCCTACAGAAGAAGTTGTTCGATAACAACATTTTCTATAGAAATGTTGTTCGATAACAACATTTTCTATAGAAATGTTGTTCGATAACAACATTTTCTATAGAAATGTTGTTCGATAACAACTATTTCTACAGAAAAGTTGTTCGATAACAACATTTTCTATAGAAAAGTTGTTCGATAACAACCATTTCTATCGAAAATGTGTTCGATAACAACATTTTCTATAGAAAATGTATTCGATAACAACATTTTCTATAGAAAAGTTGTCCGATAACAACATTTTCTATAGAAAATGTGTTCGATAACAACATTTTCTATAGAAAATGTGTTCGATAACAACATTTTCTATAGAAAATGTGTTCGATAACAACATTTTCTATAGAAATGTTGTTCGATAACAACATTTTCTATAGAAAATGTGTTCGATAACAACTATTTCTACAGAAAAGTTGTTCGATAACAACATTTTCTATAGAAAAGTTGTTCGATAACAACATTTTCTTTAGAAAAGTTGTTCGATAACAACATTTTCTATAGAAAAGTTGTTCGATAACAACATTTTCTATAGAAAAGTTGTTCGATAACAACATTTTCTATAGAAAAGTTGTTCGATAACAACCTTTTCTATAGAAAAGTTGTTCGATAACAACCTTTTCTATAGAAAAGTGGTCCGATAACAACATTTTCTATAGAAAAGTTTTTCGATAACAACATTTTCTATAGAAATGTTTTTCGATAACAACATTTTCTATAGAAAATGTGTTCGATAACAACATTTTCTATAGAAAATGTGTTCGATAACAACGTTGTCTATAGAAAATGTGTTCGATAACAACGTTGTCTATAGAAAAGTTATTCGATAACAACTGTTTCTATAGAAAAGTTGTTCGATAACAACTATTTTTATAGAAAAGTTGTTCGATAACAACTATTTCTATAGAAAAGTTGTTCGATAACAACATTTTCTATAGAAAAGTTGTTCGATAACATTATTTCCTATAAAAACGTTGTTCGATAACAACATTTTCTATAGAAATGTTGTTCGATAACAACATTTTCCATTGAAAAGTTGTTCGATAACAACATTTTCTATAGAAAAGTTGTTCGATAACAACTATTTCTATAGAAAAGCTGTTCGATAACAACTATTTCTATTGAAAAGTTGTTCGATAACAACTATTTCTATGGAAAAGTTGTTCGATAACAACATTTTCTATAGAAATGTTTTTCGATAACAACATTTTCTATAGAAATGTTGTTCGATAACAACTATTTCTATAGAAAAGTTGTTCGATAACAACTGTTTCTATGGAAAAGTTGTTCGATAACAGCTATTTCTACAGAAAAGTTGTTCGATAACAACATTTTATATAGAAATTTCTATAGAAATGTTGTTCGATAACAACTATTTCTATAGAAAAGTTGTTCGATAACAACTATTTCTATAGAAAAGTTGTTCGATAACAACTATTTCTATAGAAAAGTTGTTCGATAACAACATTTTCAATAGAAAAGTTGTTCGATAACAATTATTTTTATAGCAAAGTTTTTCGATAACAACATTTTCCAAAGAAATTTTGACCGATAACAATACATTCCATGGAAATGATGTTCGATAACGACATTTTTGTCATAATATGGCCCGATAACTTTTGTTCTTAATCGGAAATAATGAATTGGCGCCATCTCTTAAAAATAGCTAGAGGCCAAGCTACTATAGCTGAGCAAATATGTTTTGCCTGAAAGTATGCTTTGAATTGCGCCTGTTTAGCCCAAATAAAATAAAAATATTTTGCATGAGATTTCGGTACATATTTTTAGTTTTAATTTGCATTTTAAATCCAAAATAAAATATTACGGGTTCCGCTGTAAGGATTCTATCAGGTATCCTGGATTTTCTTTCTTTTAAAATTATTTTTTATTCCTGTAAAAGCCAAATTAATTTGCTGTGATTATCAGCCTTGACAGGGTGTGGACTCATAGCTGCACTGCAAAACATCTACAAGAGAGAGAATAGAGAGGGAGAATGAGAAAGGGGGGAGGGAGAGAGAGAGGAGGAGATGTATAATAAAATCTAAAATCCTTCACTGAGTAACACTTACAGTCCGTGGGCTCATCCTCCACAAAATTCGACCAAACACAATCATGATAGGAAGGATCATAGGGTAATAAACTCCCACCGGTCTTCGGAGGCACTGCTGTGGATCTGAGACTTTCCACTCTCTCTCGCATTTCTTGTAAAATACTTTCATATCCGGGCTGAGAGGCCAAATTGTTTTGCTCACAAGGATCTTTGGATAGATCATAGAGACATTCTTCGCGGGTGGCATCACAGGGTGTTGCCTCCTCCTCCTCATATCCACACTGGATTTGGGCGCTGGAACGAAATTCTTGGATCTTCTTCTTTGACAACGGTATGCGATCATATTTTCGCAGACTGAGGGATGCCATGGAAGATTTGATGGATTTTTCATAGTCCAAGGATCTGGGATCTGTGGTATTCGCATCCCTTTGCACCAGCACCCGGTCGTATTGTCCATCTATAGTTGTCCCTTGAATATATTTCCACTGACCCCTCATATAGCTTGTTATGTTCCATATCTCATCCAGCATATGGACAATTTCACGTTGCCGTTGAAATGGGTCGGATAATTCAACACCACCCACCAAATCTGGCCATAGATTTAAGCCATCCAGAGGGAGATCCAATTCAATTTTGGATGCCGCAGCCAGTGTGGGCAACCAATCCGCCATATATATGGGCGGGTGAAAAATCGATCCACGATTCTTCAACAAAGGACTCCAAATGACACCAGGAACCCGTAGACCACCCTCCCAGGGAGAATTTTTTTGCTAAGGGAAGAAAAGGGTTATGAGATTTGTAATTTTGGATTGGCTGAGGTAACTTACCCCCTTCAATGGCCAATTGGAGCCCGTGTTGCTGTACAGACCCACCGAGGGGGCTCCATTATCGGAGAGGAATAAAATAATGGAGTTGCTTAGCATTCGGGCTTTATCCAGGGCCTGGATAATGCGACCCACACTTTCATCCAATTTGGAAGCCATGGCTAAGAAGAAAGAATAACTCTTCAGGAAGGTCTCATGTGAGGCTGTATTTTATGGCAGACCTCGTCTGAGGCCGCCTTTTTAGAAGACCTCATCTGAGGTCGACTTTTTTAGAAGACCTCCTCTAAGGCCGTCTTTTGTGAAAGACCTCATATAGGCCCGTCTTTTGTGGAAGACCTCATTAGGCCCGTCTTTTGTGGAAGACCTCTCCCAAGGCTGTATTTTATGGAAGACCTCTTCTAAGGCCGTCTTTTATAGAAGACCTCATCTGAGGCCGTCTTTAGTGGAAGACCTCATCTTAGCCATCTTTTATGGAAGACCTCTTCTAAGGCCGTCTTTTATGGAAGACCTTACCTTAGGTAGCCTTTTATGGAAGACCTCATCTGGGGCCGTCTTTTATGAACGACCTCATCTAGGCCCGTCTTTTGTGGAAGACCTTATCTGAGGCCGTCATTTATGAAAGACCTCATCTGAGGCCGTCTTTTATGGGAGACCTCATTTGAGGTCGTCTTTTATGAAAGACCTCATCTAGGCCCGTCTTTTGTGGAAGACCTTATCTGAGGCCGTTTTTTATAGAAGACCTCATCTAAGGCCGTCTTTTATGGAAGACCTCATTGAGTCCGTTTTTTGTGGAAGACCTTATCTGAGGCCGTTTTTTATAGAAGACCTCATCTAAGGCCGTCTTTTATGGATGACCTCATCTGAGGTTATCTTTTATGGAAGACCTCATCTGAGGTTGTCTTTTATGAAAGACTTCATCTGAGGCCGTCTTTTATGGAAGACCTCACCTAAGGCCATCTTTTATGAAAGACCTCAAGAGATGCCGTCTTTCATGGAAGAGCTCATATGAGGCCGTTTTTATGGTATACCTTATCTTAGGCCGCCTTTTATGGAAGACCTCATCTGAGGCCGTATTTTATGGGAGATTTTGTTTTAAGCCGTCTTTTGTGAAAGACGCCATTTTAGGCCGGCCTTTAAAGGAGACCTCATCTATGGCTGTTTTATTTTTTTGGAAGACCTCGTCTGAGGCCATTTTTTACCGAAGACCTCATCTGAGGCCGTCTTTTATGGAAAACCTCATTTGAGGCTGTCTTTTGTGAAAGACCTTATATGAGGTCGTCTTTTATGGAGGACCTCATCTAATGCCATTTTTTATGGAAGACCTCATCTCAGGACGTCTTTTATGGAAGACCTCATCTAAGGCCGATTTTTGTGGAAGTCCTCATCTGACGCCGTCTTTTATGGAAGACCTCATCTGAGGCCGTCTTTCATGGAAGACCACATCTTAGGCCGTTTTTATGGAATACCTTATTTGAAGCCGTCTTTTATGAAAGACCCCATCTCAGGCCGTCTTTTATGGAAGACCTCATTTGAGGCCGTCTTTTATGATAGACCTCATATGAGGCCATCTTATATGAACGCCGAATTGAAAATTTGTATCCTCACCTGCATAGGTTCTCCTCTTCACATCCGAGATATAGGAGAACTTCTCCATCTCCTCCAAGGGAGCCTGCAAGGGATCATCATCATTGCTGGCATGGGTGGCCAAATGAGAGACCAGCAAAAATAACGGCTCTGTACCGGATTTTCTCAAAATAATATCCTCCGCTTCCTGGGTTAGCAAATTGGTTACATATGAACCCTCGGGAGGATATTCCAACTCCATATTCCTTCGAAAATCATAACCCAAACTGAAATTGGTCTGGGAAGATGAGGCATTAGACCCAAATATAAAAAATCCCAAAATTCAAAACTTACCGGCATTTTACTCATTCGCCGATAGTAATCCACAAAGGCCCCCCAATATCCATAGTGTTGATCGAACCCGTTGAAGGTGGGCGTATACTCTCTGCGACCCATGCCCATGTGCCATTTACCCACCAAATTTGTGGAATAACCATGCGCCTGAAATACCTCCGCCATGGTGGTGTGATTTTCCAAAATTCCCCAGGGTTCCTCGTTGAGCAGGACAAAATGTTGGGTTCCTGGTGGATATGAAATTAAAATTTGAAATCAGTTGTTTTTCCTCTTTAAAAATCCTCTACCTTCTTACCCGTGTGTATGGGATATAATCCCGTCAGCAATGTCGCCCTTGATGGTGTACACACTGCTGGGGTATAATGACGTTGTAATATCCTGCCATGATAGGCCAAGGCATCGATGTTGGGTGTCAAAAATTCATTGTTGCCGCGAAAGCTGATGTCATCAAAACCCTGCGGGGGGATGGAAAAATTCGCAAAATTTGAATATTTTCGTATCGAGATTTTGGAAAAATTTATGACTTTTTAAAAATTTTGGAGGCCTACCAAATCATCCGCCAAAATTATGACCATATTTGGCGGCACCGACACCTGTTTGGGCCTGGCTTTTGACCAGAATCCAGCCACTAGGCCTATTTTTAATATTAGCCACAATATTCGCATATTTAATTTTCGAAAGCACCTTTTCGAACTGCAAGTTTGCGGATGATTGACAAAAAATAATTTTAAATTCATTTTTTCGAATAATTTTTATGATTTCTGATAAAAAAAATATTCGTTTATAACCTGCAATTTTTTATGGGCTCTTTTGTCTGCCAGAAGGTTATATTAACTTGGCGATAAGATATCACCTTTGTTGTTGTTGTTGCAGCAGTTCTACAACCGTATTCAAATTTAAAGATGCAGTAATCTGTTACCAGCTGTAGCCACAAATTCGCGTTACAATGTTGCAAAGATTTGGCAGGACATTTACCATTCTACAAAGTGGCGCCCAATATGAATTAAGGCAACAGCACCAACCTATAATGACGTGGAGGACTTTTCTGGTTGTTGCTGCTGTTGTTGTAGCAGTAATACATGCAGATTTTTGGATTCTGCTAATCTGGTTCGAGCTCCAGGTCTATAAATTCGGCTAACTTAATGGGCTATAACCGGAGATCTTCTGGAGTGAGTTGGATAGGTTTGACAGTGCAATTAAATTGTGCGGGCCTGTATCACACGCCGGGCAGACGTCATGCACATCTTCGTCAATTCGTGGCCAATACGAATTGAGAGACGACTGCACCATCCTGAACGTAATTGCGCCAAAACCACCCTATGGAAGATCTAATCTGAGGCCATTTTTTATGGAAGGCCTCATCTAAGCCAATCTTTTATGGAAGGCCTCATCTGATGCTGTCTTTTATGGAAGACCTCTTCTAAGGCCTTCTTTTATGGAAGACCTCTTCTAAGGCCGTCTTTTGTGGAAGACCAGATATGAGGCCGTCTCTTAGTGGAAAACCTCATCTGAGACCGTCTTTTATGAAAGACCTCATCTGAGGTGGTCTTTTATGGAAGAGCTCATCTGAGGCCTTCTTTTATGGAAGAACTCATTTAAAGTCGTTTTTTTTTTTGAAGACCCCATCTGAGGCCGTTTTTTATGGAAGATCTCAAGTTATGTATTTTATGGAAGACCTCATCTAAGGCCTTATCTAAGGTCGTATTTTGTGGAAGATCTTATCTGAGGCCGTCTTTAATGGAAGACTTCATCTATCGCCGTCTTTTATGGATCACCTCATTTGAGGTCATATTTTATGGAAGGCCTCGTCTGACGCCGTCTTTTATGGAAGACCTCTTCTAAGGAAGAGCTCATCTGAGGCCTTCTTTAATGGCCTGCACACCATCCTGAACGTAATTGCGCCAAAACCACCCTGGCTGACGTTCCTCAGCTGCCTAGACAAATCAGGGACACTGCACCGTGTGCCGTCATTTCTCCAAGTGTGGTTGCTTATTATTTCCATAAATATATCCTCTTGCCCAGCATCGGGCCGTCTTCCATTAACACAACATAAAAAATATTTTTTCTCGTTTTTTTCTCAGTGTTGTCGTCGTTTTCTAAAACCGTTCGTAATTATTTCCATTAACTTATGTTCTTTGGCTAACCAATTAATAAGACAAAAATCTCTGCCATGAACTCTCCCAAAATTTCTCTTCTCCAACATTGTTTCTTTCTCTTTTTAGTTTTCTCTTCCCCCTTAAAATCACTACATTTGACAACGACGATTATTGTCATGGATAAACCGCACTCTATCTATCCCACCACAACAACATATAGCCCCACATCGTCAATGTAAAACTGATCATTGTGCCGTGAAACTTTCAAGCGTGTATATCGTGCGGTTTGCCGGTTTTTCTTTCGTTCAAGTCTCGTAAAATTGCCATTTGACGAATAGTTGTTGCCGTTGTTGTTGTTGTTGGGGGAGTAAAAGTGTGTGACTGTGTAAACATTGGCTGCTCTTTGGCCTCAAAAAAAAAAAAAAAACAAAAAAAAAACAACCGTTTATTTTGGCAGAGTGGCGTCGCCGAGTATGTATCAATGAGGAGTGTGTGTGTGGTGTGTGTGAGAGAGAGGGAGAGTGAATGAATGGATGAATGGCTGCGTGTTTTTGGTGTAAATCAAAAACACAAAATCAAAATAAAATTGATAGAACCAATAACAAAAACAATTAATGATTATGGGAGATAATGATTAGGGGGTTATTTTCCCCCACTCACTCTCTCTCTCCCTTCCTCTTTAATCTGTGTGCTGTATTGTTGTTATAGCCGTGAGGGGTTTTGGTGTTATCCAGTGATGCAAATCAATCAATCGATAATGGAGATCGTACAAAAAAATGAATAGAATAGAATTAAAAAATAAAAACAAGAAAAAAATTAAAATTAACAAAATTAAAGTCGTAGTTTTAGGTATTTTTTTCATATAAGAAAATAAAAAAATAAATAATAATTTAAAATAATAAAAAAATTAAAATAATAAAATTAAAATAATAAAATAATAATTAAAAATAATAAAATTAAAATAATAAATAAAATAATAAAATTAAAATAATAAATAAAATAATAATTAAAATAATAAATAAAATAATAAAATAATAATTAAAATAAATAAAATAATAAAAAATATAAAAAAATAATAAATTTAAAAATAAAGATGAAACATAAATCTGTAAGAAAAGAAATTAATTAAATCAAAATTATAAACAGTGCATAAATCTTAAATCTGAAGAACCTAAAATGATTATTTAAATAACTTTATTCCTCCCCATTTCCAGTTTCCAATTTAAAGAGTTTTGATTAAAAACTCCTCCCAAATCAACACCTAAAACCTATTCATTAGCATTTCTTTTTGTTGAATATTTAAAGCCATCCTCATTGATTAGCTTAGACAGCTGCTGTCTGTCTGTCTCTCGAACTGTCTGTCTGCTGTCGTAGTTTATCTCAACACCTCTGCTTTGAAACACCAACTTCTGGTGTTTTGTTTGCTTAATTTTCTCTAATTGCAATTGACAGTTGTTTTATTTGAAATTTATTTCAAAAAAATAAAATTGAAATTTAAATAAATAAAATAAATAAAATTAAATTTAATCACCTCGAAAACATTTGGTGGGAATTTTTTTATTTCTGCCCTCCGAGCGGCCTAATTATAATTAAGTCAGCAGCGCTGGCAAAATTCGGCGAGCTATTTTTGTTGATCAAGCGAATATTTGAATTGAAGTGAGTGAATACGTTTTTTTTTTAATGAAAGTGGGGGTGTCAGTGGCACTACAAACTGTGAGCTTCAATTAATATTTAATACCAAAAATTCTTTTAAATTTAAAAATTCTTTTAGTAACTGAGCTCCGGAAGAAATGACAGATACAGATAAATAAAATCATAAAAATACCGAATATCGGGAGGTACCGTTATATGGGGGCTATACGAAGACGTGAACCTGCACTGAAAATTTTTTGTCTTAGGCTGTAGTATCCATTTTGAACTTTAAATGCCAAATTTGAAAGCATTCCGGTGAATAATGTCGCTAAAAACATTAAAATACCGAATATGGGGAGGTACTGATATATGGGGGCTATATGAAGGCCAGACAGACAATTTTCCGTCTTAGGCTGTAGTATTCATTGCGAACTTCAAATACGAAATTTGAAATAATTCCGGTGAATAATGTCGCTAAAATCAAAAAAATACCGAATATCGGGGGGTACCGTTATATGGGAGCTATACGAAGACGTAAACCTACACAGACAATTTTTTATCTTGGGCTGTAATATTCATTTCGAACTTCTAACACCAAATTTGAAACAATTCCGGTGAATAATGTCGCTGAAATCATAAAAAATACCGAATATCGGGAGATACCGTTATATGGGGGCTATACGAAGACGTGGACCTACACAGAAAATTTTCTGTCATAGGCTGTAGTATCCATTACGAACTTCAAATACGAAATTTGAAATAATTCCGGTGAATAATGTCGCTAAAATCATAAAAAATACCGAATATCGGGAGGTACCGTTATATGGGGGCTATACGAAGACGTGGACTTGCATAGACAATTTTCTCTCATGGGTTGTAGTATTCATTACGAACTTCAAATTCAAAATTTGAAATAGTTCCGATGAATATTGTCGCTAAAATCATCAAAATACCGAATATCGGGAGGTACCGTTGTATGGGGGCTATACGAAGACGTGGGCTTGCATAGACAATTTTCTGTCATGGGCTGTAGTATCCATTTTGAACTTCAAATACCAAATTTGAAACAATTCCGGTGAATATTGTCGCTAAAATCATCGAAATACCGAATATCGAGAGATATACGAAGACGAGGACATGCGTAGTCAATTTTTTGTCATAGGCTGTAGTATCCATTGTGAACTTCAAACACCAAATTTGAAACAATTCCGGTGAATAATGTCGCTAAAATCAACAAAGTACCGAATATCGGGAGGTACCGTTATATGGGAGCTATACGAAGACGTGGACCTGCATGGCCCATTTTCAATACCAAAAGTCTTGTAGACATAATACAAATTTGAGTAAAATTTTATCAACCTACTTTAATTCGTTCGGAAGCTAGAGTGATTTCCACAGACGGACAGGCGGATAGACGGAGGGACATCTCTAAATCGACATAGAATTTTATGCTGATCAAGAATATATAAAGTATATATAAAATGTATATTTCGAGGTGTTACAAACGGAATGACAAACTTGATATACCCTCCATACTATGGTGGAGGGTATAAAAATTAAAGGCCGCAAAGGCTTTATCTTATGGAAATATAGAGATGTGATTGGCAACACAGAACTGGGGCTCAATTCTATGAAAATGTGAAATGAAAACTTTTGTAAAAAAAATAAATCTCAAATAAAAAATGGCATCCTGGAGGGTATTATAGATTATTATTTCAAGCAGTTACCCTATGTCCCGAATACTTAATCTCCCAGAATCCAACAATGAAAACAATCATTTATTCAAATATAAATTTTGTCATGAAATATTTTCAAATCGAAAAAGAAGATGATTTTGAGAAGAGGATTTCCTCGACACCACCCATGACCCTAAACAGGCCTCTAATTATGGTATCCTTCCTATAGGAATAAAAAATCATTTCTACGATCCTTTCATAGATAAACGAATGTCCTTAAGCATTCCACATATTTTGATCCTTTTCCCTGTTTTTAACAGTTCAAAGATCTGTATCCCTCCCTCATATGGTGTCTAATTTAACCCCCATCACGTGTTTTTATTGCCATCATCTCACGTTATTTTTCCCCAATTTTTTTTTTGTTTTTACAGCCTCAAAACAAAACTCAATTAAATATAAAATATTTAAAAAAATAAATAATATTTTTAACATGACGTGCCATTAATCGAATTAGCACGTTCTACATTGCGACAAAGTAGGCAGACGTCAATGCGACGGTGACACATTTAAAACAAACAATTGCATTTTTCGTAACAAAAAAAAAAAAAAAAAAAAAAAACTTGAAAATGCACGCCATTTCATCCAGCCACAATTATTGTTGTTTGAAATTTTTTATTTTTGTTTTGCCAAAAAAAAAAAAAAATTAACAAACAATGATTATTTGTTATAACACACATGTCAAGGGTTTTCCAGTTTTTTTTTATTAGCCTGAAGATTACGAAGATAGGGATCTGTTTAGCGGCGGTACCATTAATGGCTTTAATGCGCTTGACGTCAAATTTATTCAGAGGAAAAATTGGTGGATTGTGACTTTTGTTAAATGACATTATTTTTTTTTTAATTAATTTTATTTTTTTTTATTATTAAAATGGAAAAAATGGTACATGATGTAGATTTTTCTGGAGAGATTTTGTGTCGCACTTCGTTTTTATGGATATTTATGGGTATACACAACATTTAGACCCAATCAGCTGTTTCTCTATTGCGAGTAGCCTAAAAGTATGCAATGCGCATTGATATTATGGTTTTGACATTGAATATGGGCAGAAGCAGAGAATGTATTTTTTGAAAATCTTGGAAAAAAAACCAGCAAGGAAAGGTCAAAAGTCGAGCGGGACCGACTATATGATACCCTACTCCGAGCTTCATCATTTAATTTTGGCTGATATTACATATATGATGGGCAATATCCGTAAAATCGGATATGAATATGCATATCGAAGGTTTATAAAAATCTGAACCGATTTTGATAAAATTTGGCAGAGGTATGCCGAGGCAGCATCTGATGCCTGGTACCAAATATCATTCTTGTGGAGTGCATATTGCAAATGTGAGAAACTTAAAACCCCAAATCGGATGAACAATATATATGGGAGCTATAGCTATATCTGAACCGATTTTCACCAAATTCGAAGTACATGCTTCTAGGCTGAATTCAGTCGGAATTACCAAAATTCAGGTCATTTGAACTGATATTAGCCATTTGGTGCACAATTAAACCGAAGTCGGACGAAGATTTATATGGGTGCTATATCCAAATTTGAACCGATCTTGATAAAATTTGGCAGAGGTATTTCTGAGCTGCATCTGATGTCTGGTGCCAAATATAATTCTTGTGGAGGGCATATTACGAATGTGAGGTACCTAAAACCCGAATCGGATGAAACCTATATGTGGGAGCTATAGGTATATCTGAACCGATTTTCACCAAATTCGAAGTACATGCTTCTAGGTTGAATTCGGTCGGAAGTGCCAAAATTCACTTCATTTGGGCTGATATTAGCCATTTGGGGGCCATTAAACCTGAAATCGGATAAATGTATGCATGGGAACTATATCCAAATCTGAACCGATCTTGATAAAATTTGGCAGAGGTATGCCTGAGCTACACCTGATGCCTGGTACCAAATATCATTCATGTGGAGAGCATATTACGAATGTGAGGGACTTAAAATCCCAAATCGGATGAAAGATATATATGGGAGCTATAGCTATATCTTTCACCAAATTTAAAGTACTTGTTTCTAGGCTGAATTCAGTCGGAATTACCAAAATTCAGGTCAATTGAACTGATCTTAGCCATTTGGTGCACATTAAACCTGAAATCGGATGAAGATATATATGGGAGGATTATTTAAATTTGAACAAATTCTCACCAATTTCAATAGAGTTCGTTCTTGGGCCAAACAGATGTTGTTTGGAAAATTTCATCTCAATCGGATAATAAATGCGACCTGCATTTTATTCACAAAAATGCATGAACAGGTGAACAGAAGGACTGATGATTGCATAAATCGACACAGAAAGTGATTCAATGAGAAAATATAGATTCAGTTTTTTAGAAAAATATCCATTTCAGACCGTTACAGACCAGTTGGGTATTTTTTGTTAGAAGTAGATGTTATTCCATTAACAATTTTATTTTTGTCAGTGCAGGATTTTCCATAAAAATCTAGACAACATCCTCTGCGAAACGTTAAAAATTAAAAGTAGAAGCAACGACATAAAACATTTTATAAAGAAATGGCTGGATTGGCATACTCATAATTAAAATATTGATTTTTTTTTTGTCATTGAAAAAATATTATTTTTTGGAAAAAATAATATTTTTTAAAAAAAATAATAGTTTTGGGAAAATATATTTTTTTGGAAAAATATATTTTTTGGAAAAAAATAATATTTTTTTTTTTAAATATATTTTTTGGAAAAAATAATATTTTTTGGAAAAATATATTTTTTGAAAAAAAAAATAATATTTTTTGGAAAAAATATATTTTTTTTTTATTATAAAAATTAAAAAAAAAAACAACACACGGGCATATAATATTGTTTTGGAGATTTATGGGACCATTTATAATCTGTAATTGATATTTAAAAACATAAGCAATCGTTGAACACAATCAATTGCCTCTCTTTTGTATTTGCCTAAAAGTATGCAATGCGCATTGGCTGATTATTTCTTGGCAGTAAATATCAAATGGAGAAAGGTGAAATATTTACAAAACATTTTTTTTACATCAAAATTAAATTTCTCATCTCTTGAGACGCATTTTCAGTGGCTTGAAACTCTTCTAAAACAGTAGCAACAGCGGTTAATGTTTCTCCATTGACCATACTCCATATTTGTTTTTCTCTCTCTCGCTCTCTCTTTGTTCATTTATTCTTCAAAAAGGTGCAGCTTTTGGCCTGGCCATTTGGATTCGATTAATTTTCTATGGAATCCCCCCTCCCAATTTTAATTGTTTATTTTTCTCCATCGATCCAAAATTTCCGCTTCTTTTGTCTTAAATTATTTTACAACGGCTATTTGTTCAAATTAAATTTGTTAGTAAAACCGTAATTAACAATGGCACGACAAAACACCATAGCCATATCGTCAACAATATAATGCCATTGGCAATTAATTGTTGTTTAATTGGGCCTTTAGAGTTCTCTGCTCCGTGATTTGTTTTCTTTATCTGTGGCGGCCATTTATAAAAGAGAGCTAAGAGAATGTCGATGAAGAGAAACTCCTAAAATGGAACTCTTGAAATACTCTCTGTAACTCACTTTGGTAAATGCACCAGGTAACTGTGTCCAGTGTCTGTATTATGATGATACTTTTCATTGTGAGAGTAAGAGAGTTGAAAGAGCGAAATTTGATAGCATATTTAAAATCGATGAGATTCATAAGAGAAATGGTATGATGTGTGAGGCATAGGTGAACAAAATAACTAAAGAGAAATTCTTGGGAATATTTTTAAATTGGGTTTCGAATTCTTAAATTATTTTATTGTTGTTTAAATGAAAATGGATTTAATAAAAAAATGTTATATTTTAAGACAAATTAAATTAAAAAAAAAAAAATAAAAAAAAACTGTAACAAAGTCAAACGCCATCATTTTTACATTTTTTTAAATTTTATTGAATGAGAGCAAAAAATGTCGGAAATAGGAAATTCTAATATTTGATGCTATTTCCGACATTTTTTGCTCTCATTCAATAAAATATTAAAAAACTGTAACAAAGTAAAAAGCCTTAATTTTTACATTTTTTTTAAATTTTATTGAATGAAAGAAAAAAATGTCGGAAATAGCATCAAATTTTGAAAAAAGTTTTTTGAATTGTTCACCTTTGACATGAATTATGGCCTTTAAACGGCCAATGAAACCGTCACACGCTGCCCCAATGTTGCTCTGCGGTATTTTAGCCCATTCCCGGCGAAGCTCTTGCTAGAGGTGATCGACACTTTGGTACACTTCTAGTGCCAACCTTGCTTTTCAAAATACTCCAGACACAATAGTCCAACGGATTGATATCCGGAGATTTTTATGGCCATTGTGCGCTGGAAAATGAAGCGACTAACCTCATTTTGGTAGCCATTTTTGGGTGGCGCGTGAAAAGTGCGTTGGTGCTGAGTCCTGTTTGGAATGTCCAAGGTCATCTGCGGTCAAATGTTTGCGTGCCAAAGGCTTTAATGCACCCTCCAGAATATTTTCGCGATAATATTCGGCATTTATTCTGATGCCACGGTCGATTAATACGAGCGGAGAGCGACCATTGGCTGCTTGAGTTCCGGATGGCCAAACGAAGGTGCACATTTTCTTGACGTCGGGCTATCCTACCAGTATCACGGTAACGAGCGATGGTACGAGAGATTTTTTCACGTTTAACCACGAATAACCTTTTTCCGGGAAAATTGTCAACAAAATACTTTTGTACGTCTGTGCACAATGTATTGTATTGGAATAATTTTAACAGCCGTCGGACGAGTGGCTTAAAAATGACAGCAGTCTTAGATTAAAAACACATTAAAGGGTTTAAAGCCGTACTTTCAGTGAATTTGTGTAAAAATCTCCAATAAAGCATGGTATTAGAAGAATAATGTCAAAGACGAAAATATTCTTCATCAAATTTTACTATGGGTCTGCAAGGAAGAGAAATCTGTATTTCCACTATGTATCACAAAAAAATCGGCATGTTGCAAAAGAAAAAAGTGCCGAAAATATTCCCAAAAATTTTTTGAGCAATTTTCACTTGGACTTTTTTCGAGTTGATGTCTGAAAGTGGCATAAAATTTCATTTTAGGCTAAAGGTATCAAAAGAAGAAATATTCTACACAAAATTTTACTATAAATCTCAGAATAGTCCCTATATGTGGGATCAATAGATTCTATGAAAATTACACTCAACATATATGTATCACAAGTGAAAATTATGTGTTTGCTGTTCTACTGTTAATTAAGCACATATCCAATCTGAGTCAAAATCTCCCTTTATACTTCATTTTTTGGGGAAAGTATCAGAGGAGGATTTATTCCCGATCAAATTTCATTGTGAGTCTCTGAACGAAAGAATTCTCTATTTTTATTGTGTATTAAAAAAATATGCCCATCAATATTCCAAAAAAAAAAAACGAAAATATTCCCTAATTGTTTTCATAAAATTTTCTATGAACTTTTTTCGAGTTTACACCTGAAAGTGGCTTAAAGTTTCATTTTAGGCTAAATATATCAAAGGAAGAAATGTTCTACAAAAAATTTCACTATAAATCTCAGAATAAATCCTACATCTAGGTACAATGGTTTCTGCGAAAATTACATTCAAAATTCGTGTACTAAAAGAGAATCTTGTGTGTTTGCTCTTGTTGCTGTTAATTTAACACATATTCAATCCGAGTCAAAATCTCCCTTTATATTTCATTTTTTGGGAAAAGTGTGAGAAGAAGAATTATTCTCCATCGAATTTCCTTGTGAGTGTCTGAAGAAAAGAATTCTTTATTTTCATTGCGTATTGAAAAAATATGCCCATCAATATCCAAAAAAAAAAAAACCGAAAAAATGCCCTAATAGTTTTCATTAAATTTTCTATGGACTTTTTTCGAGTTGACGCCTGAAAGAAGCATAAAATTTCATTCTAGGCTGAAAGTGTCAAAGAAAGAAATATTCTACATAAAATTTCACTATAAATCTCAGAATAAAGTCTATATCTAGGACCAATAGTTTCTATGAAAATTACGTTCAAAACTTATGTACCAAATGTGAAAATGATGTCTTTGCTTTTTTTACTGTTAATTTAACACATATTCAATCCGAGTCAAAATCTCCCTTTAGACTTGATTTTTTGGGGAAAATGTCAGAGGAAGAATTATTCTCCGTCGAATTTCATTGTGAGTCTCTGAACAAAAGAAATTTGTATATTCAATGTGCACCATAAAAAAATAGCATCCAATTTTGGTTTTATTTCTGACAAATGTGGCACTTTGCCCAATTCGCCGCAAATTTTTTTTCTCGATTTCACTGTCTAATAGCCAGTCTAAGTTGTGGAAAATACTATGTGGACTCGATAGCACTCGTTTTCAGATCAAAATGCCAATTCATTCGGAATTTTTTTAAAACTACCAACTATTCCCTCCGAAAGCACCTCCAAGCAATTTTTCTCAAGAAAAGGAATTTATTCGGAAATATTTGTTAATAATAAATAATTTTTTTTTTAATTTTCTAAAAGAGGAAGCTTCTCCAATTTACTGCTCATAAATTATCCGGCCATAACTGTTACTGTTAGCGAAAAAAATATTTAAAACAATAACCACCCAACTATTTAAACGAAATTTAATGATGAGTAAACATAGCGAGAATCCGTCAAAAGGCTTAAACGTGACTTAAACAAATTTTTGTTGTAAAAATTTTGTATTTATTTTTGTTGTTGTTTTCAATTTCAGGCGCCATCTAACAACACTCATCGATGTCAATTTCGAAAAATTCTGGTGAAATTTGAATAAGCGACGATGTTTAGATTTAATCTGCCGGCTGTGCTGGCAATCGTGCTTGGGTTGGTGATGAGGACCCAGTCGGCGGCCTGGGAGGGGAGTGCGAAACCAAATATCGTTATTATTATGGCTGATGATATGGTAAGTAATTAAAAAAAGAAGAATTTTTTTTCAGATTTCAAAACCATTTTCCATTTTCTTTTCCAGGGCTTCGATGATGTCAGTTTCCGAGGTTCGAATGAATTTCTTACGCCCAACATTGATGCCTTGGCCTATAGTGGGGTAATTCTAAATAATCTCTATACTCCCTCGATGTGTACCCCTTCGAGGGCGGCCCTGCTGACGGGAAAATATCCCTTGAATACCGGCATGCAGCATTATGTCCTGGTGAATGATCAGCCCTGGAGTTTGCCCACCAATGAGACAACAATGGGTGAGGTATTCCAAGAGAATGGCTATTACACTTCGTTGATTGGAAAATGGCATTTGGGTATGTCACGTAAGGCCTATACGCCCAAATTTCGGGGATTCGATCAGCATTATGGTTACTTGGGAGCCTATGTGGACTACTATGATCAGACACTGGAACAGGGGGTGAGATGTGATATTGTCCACTGTTTTTTTTTTCCAATTTTTAAATTTTCGTCTTTTCTTTGCCAGAATGTCAACTATTCCCGGGGCCATGATTTCCGAGACAATCTGCGACCTGTGTGTGATCGCAACGGCACCTATGTCACCGATCTTTTGACAGAGGCCGCCATTCGGCGCATCAAACAGCATAATTATCAGAGGAAACCTCTTTTCATGTTACTCAGCCATTTGGCTCCGCACTCGGCAAATGATGACGACCCTTTGCAGGCTCCTCAGTCGGAGGTAGAGAAATTCTCCTATATTAAAGATGAACGCCGTAGGAAATATGCCGCCATGGTTTCAAAACTCGATCAAAGTGTGGGCCAAGTGGTGGAGGCCTTGAGTCATCGGGGAATTTTGAATAATACCATATTGTTGTTTTTATCCGACAATGGTGGACCGACGCAGGGAATGCATTCCACAACGGCATCGAATTATCCACTGAGGGGGGTAAGGCAATTTTTTGAAATATTTTCCAAGGGTCGAATTTTTTAGATATTTTCATGAGTTTTACAATTTCTGGATTTTTTTAAAAACATTTCCAAGAATTTTTTCGAAGGCGTGGATTTTTAAAAATATTTCTTTTTGAGAATTTCTAAAAGGCGTCGATTTTTTTAAAAATATTTCTAAAGAATTTTGAGAAGAAATTTTTAAAAAATATTTTTAGAAGCCTTATAAAATTCGTGGTTTTTTAAAAATATTTTTGGAAGCATTATAAAATTCGTGGATTTTTTAAAAATTGTTTTTAGAATTTTTTTAAAGGCAAAGATTTTTTATAAATATTTTTTTAAGAATTTTGGGTAGTGGTGGATTTTTTAAAGATATTTTTTAGATTTTTTTTAAAGGCGAGGATTTGTTGGAAATATTTTTCAAGAGTTTTCAAAAGACGTGGATTTTTTAAAACTATTTTTCAGAGGTTCGAAAAGACGTGGATTTTTTACAACTATATTTCAAGAGTTTCCAAAAGACGTGGATTTTTAAATTTTTAAATATTTCCAAAAGACGTGGATTTTTTAAAAATATTTTTTAAGAGTTTTCACAAGACGTGGATTTTTTAAAAAATATTTTTCAAACATTTTCACAAGGCGTGGATTTTTTAAAAAATATTTTTCAAACATTTTCACAAGACGTGGACTTTTTAAAAAATATTTTTTAAACTTTTTCACAAGACGTGGATTTTTTAAAAAATATTTTTCAAACATTTTAACAAGACGTGGATTTTTTAAAAATATTTTTCAAACATTTTCACAAGACATGGATTTTTTTAAACATTTTCACAAGACGTGGATTTTTTTAAACATTTTCACAAGACGTGGATTTTTTAAAAAATATTTTTTAGAAGTTTTCACAAGACGTGGATTTTTTAAAAATATTTTTGAAGAGTTTTCACAAGACGTGAATTTGTAAAAATATTTTTGAAGAGTTTTCACAAGACGTGAATTTGTAAAAATATTTTTGAAGAGTTTTCACAAGACGTGAATTTGTAAAAATATTTTTGAAGAGTTTTCACAAGACGTGAATTTGTAAAAAAATTTTATAAAGTTTCCACAAGACGTGGATTTTTTAAAAAAATATTTTTTAAGTATTTTATAAAGACGTGGATTTTTCAAAAATATTTTTTTCAAAAGTTTCCAAAAGACGTGGATTTTTCAAAAATATTTTTTAAGTATTTCCAATAGACGTGGATTTTTTAAAAATATTTTTCAAAAGTTTACAAAAGACGTGGATTTTTTAAAAAATATTTTTTAAGTATTTTCTAAAGACGTGAATTTTTTAAAAAATATTTTTTTAGTATTTCTGCAAGAGGTGGATTTTTTAAAATAATATTTTTTAAGTATTTCCAAAAGACGAGGATTTTTTAAAAAATATTTTTTAAGAATCTTGAGAAGACGTGGATTTTTTAAAAAATATTTTTTAAGTATTTCCAAAAGACGTGGATTTTTTAAAAAATATTTTTTAAGTATTTCCAAAAGACGTGGACTTTTTAAAAAATATTTTTTAAGTATTGCCAAAAGACGTGGATTTTTTAAAAAATATTTTTTAAGTATTTCCAAAAGACGTGGATTTTTTAAAAAATATTTTTAAAGAATCTAGAGAAGACGTGGATTTTTTAAAAATATATTTTTTAAGAGTTTTCACAATACGTGGATTTTTAAAAATATATTTTTTAAGAGTTTTCACAATACGTGGATTTTTAAAAAATATTTTTTAAGAGTTTTCACAATACGTGGATTTTTAAAAAATATTTTTGAGAATATTCTCAAGACCCGGATTTCTTAAAAATATTTTTAGAAGACCTATAAATTTTGCGGATTTTTTTTAAATATTTTTTGAGAATTTTCTCAAGACCTGGATTTCTTAAAATATTTTGAAAAGCCCTATAAATTTGGGGGATTTTTTTTAAATATTTTTTTGAGAATTTTCTCAAGACCTGGATTTCCTAAAAATATTTTTGGAAGCCCTATAAATTTGGCGGATTTTTTTTAAATTGTTAGAAAATTTTTAAATGAAAAAAATATTTTTTAGAATTTTTTAACAATTTTTAGAAGTCGTTGATTTTTTAAAAATATTTTTTTAGAAATTTTTAACAATTTTCAGAAGTCGTTATTTTTGAGGAATTGTCGGAAGTTGTGGATTATTTTTAAAAAATACACGACTTTTTAAAGATTTTTTTAGGAAGTCGATGACTTTTTAAAATTATTTTTTAAGCATTTTTAGAAGTCGTGGATTTTTTAAAATATTTTTTAGAGATCTTTAGATGTCATGGATTTTTTTTTTAAATATTTTTTATGAAGCCTTATGATAGTTCCTTTTTTTAATATTTTTAGGTATTTTCAGTTGTCATGGATTTTTTTAAAATATTTTTTAACAATTTTTAGAAGTTGTTGAATTTTTAAAACTATTTTTTAGGAATTTTTAAGAATTTTCAGATGTCTTGGATTTTTTTAAAAAATGTACGAATTTTTTAAGATTTTTTTAAGAAGTCGAGAATTTTTAAAAATTATTTTTAAAGAATTTGTAGAAGTCGTGGATTTTTTAAAAATATTTTTTAGAAATTTTCAGATGTCATGGAGTTTTTTTTAAATATTTTGGAAGCCTTATAAAAATCTCGGATTTTTCAAATCTATCTTTCGATACTTGAATTTCAAATAAAAGAATAACTTTTATCTCCCCTCTCTCTTCCAGCAAAAACATTCCCCCTGGGAGGGTGGTCTACGCTCCTCAGCCGCCATTTGGTCTACACAGCTGGAGAAGCTCGGCACCATTTGGAAACAGAAAATTTACATAGGCGATTTTCTGCCCACCTTGGCGGCAGCGGCAAATATACCCCTGGATGGCCTAACCCTCGATGGCCTTAATCTATGGCCCTCCCTCAAGTATGGCTATGAGTCGGTGGAACGGGAAATTATGCACAATATCGATGAGATTTTCAACTATGAGGTCTATGCCAAGGGTAAATGGAAATTTGTGAATGGTACCACTGTGGAGGGACGTTACGATGGTTGGCTTTCACAGCGTCCCAATGATAGTTCACAAATTGATCCAAGATTTGAACACTACGAAGATTTGGTCAAACAATCACCGGTGTGGAAACATTTGCATGCCATAACTGGAGATAAACCCATCCAGCTGTTGGAACATCGGGAACATGCTGTGGTGAAGTGTTTGTATGAAGATGCCACCCTGGGTGTTGCCTGTAATCCCTTGGAGGCCCCATGTCTTTTCGATTTGGATGTGGATCCCTGTGAACAAAATAATCTGTATGAAAAAATGAAAAATTCCACAATATTTGGGGATATAATGGAACGTATTGCATACTTTAGGGAGCATGCCCATCCGATCAATAACAAGCCAGCTGATTATCGTTGTAATCCAGCTGATTTCAATTATGAATGGACCTGGTGGGAAGATGTGCTGGAGGGTAACGGTGGGCGGGGTGTTAAAGGGAAATTTAGTTTTTTAGAGTTGCTAGGGCTCACAGGCCTACTTGTGGTGCTGAGGGAAGTTTTAGATTAAGAAAAAAAAATGTTATTTATTTAAAAAAAAATATGAAAATATTGTGAATAAATTTAAATTTTAGGAAAATGATTTTTAAATAAGTTAAAATTAATATTTAAAAAAAATATAGAAAATATATTCAAACCCCTTTGGACTTTTACAAATGGTTTTTGGAGGAGTTTTGAAAAAAAAGAAATATTTATCCGGGGCGATAAAAGTCGATTTTTTTCAAAAATTACAGGGAAAATCCAGCAGATTTTGAAAGCAGAGCTAAAAAAAGAAAACACGTGTTTTGGAGTTTTTAAAGTTTGGCATCGAGAGGTGACCAAAATTGAGGGGGCAAATTTCCCCTCGTCCACACTTTTAGAAATTTTTCAGAATAAGATTCCTCGAAATCCATGCGTTTTAGGTATATGGTGTCTTCCGATATGATAAAAATATGAGGAAAATTTGGGTTAAGAATTTTAACCCTCAAGCGAGCCAAAAAAGGGGACTTTTTGGTCCTTTTTTAAAATGTGCTTCAAAACTCCCTTTAAACGCGGTCGGAGCAAGTCGAAATACTCTACTAAATTATTTGCCACAAAATTCTACAATAGGTCCTAGAAGAGGGGGCAAGTTCCCCTCTCTTCCACACGTCTGGAAAATTTCAAAATAAGATATCTCGGAATGCATGCATTTTAGGTATATAGTGTCTTTGGCAATATTGCAGATAAAAATATGAGGAATATTTGGGTTAAGAATTTTAACCCTCAAGCGAGCCAAAATGTGCTACAAAACTCCCTTCAAACGCGGTCGTAGCAAGTCTGAATACTCGAACAAATTATATGTTATATAATTCTACTATAGGTCCTAGAAGAGGGGGCAAGTTCCCCTCTCTTCCACACTTCTGGAAAATTTCAAAATAAGATATCTCGGAATGCATGCATTTTAGGTATATAGTGTCTTCGGCAATATTGCAGCTAAAATTATGAAGAATATTTGGGTTAAGAATATTAACCCTCAAGCGAGCCAAAAAAGGGGACTTTTTGGTCCTTTTTTTAAAAAATGGCTAAAAACTCCCTTTAAACGCGAAGGTATATAGTGTCTTTAGCAATATTGCAGATAAAAACATGAGAAATATTTGGGTTCAGAATTTTAACCCTCATGCGAGCCAAAAAAGGGGACTTTTTGGTCTTTTTTTTTAAATGTGCTTCAAAACTCCCTTTAAACGGAATCGCAGGAAGTCAAAATATTCTACCAAATTATTTGCCATAAAATTCTACTATAGGTCCTAGAAGACATCAAGAGTCTAAATCTTACCCAAATGCCAGGATTACATATATATTAAAAACGCATTTTAGGGTTAAAACCGTATTTTTTGTGAGTTTTTGCAAAAATCTCCAACAAACCATCGTTTTAGAAGGATGATGTCAATGACAAAAATGTTCTTCATCAAATTTCACTATAAGTCTCTGATGAAAAGAAATCTTTATTTTCATTGCGTATCAAAAAAATATATTCATCAATGTTCCAAAAAAAAAAACGAGAATATTCCAAAAATTGTTGATCAACCGTACTTTGTGTGATATTGTGCTAAAATCTCCAACAAAGCATCATTTTAGGTGGATGATGCCAGAGACAAAAATATTCTTCACCAAAATTCACTATAAGTCTCTGATTTTTATTGCGTATTATAAAAATATGTCCATCAAGGTTCCAAAAAATACGAAAATATTCCCAAAATTTTTTGATAATTATTTTCCTTGGACTTTATTCGAGTTGACCCCTAAAAGTAACATGAAATTCCATTTTAGCCTGAAAGTGTCAAAGAGAGAAATATTCTACACAAAATTTCACTATTGATTTCCGAATAGAACTTATATCTACGAACAACAGTTTCTATGAAAATTACATTCAAAGTTCGTGTAGCAGAAGTGAAAATTATGTGTTTTCTGTTTTACTGTTAATTTAACACGTTTCAAATCCGAGTCAAAATCTCCCTTAATACTTCATATTTTGGGGAAAGTGTCAAAGGAAAAATTATTCTCCATCGAATTTTATTGGGAGTCTCTGAACAAAAGAAATCTCTATTTTCAATGCGTATTAAAAAAATGTGTCCAACAATGATCCAAAAAAATATGAAAATATTCCCAAATTTTTTTGAGCAATTTTTCTTGTGACTTTTTTCGAGTTGACCCCTAAGAGTAACATGAAATTTCATTTTAGGCTAAAACTGTCAATGAGAGAAATATTCTCCACAAAATTTCACTATTAATCTCAGAATAGACCCTATATCTCGGAACAATAGTTTCTATGAAAATTGCATTCAAAATTCGTGTACCACAAATGAAAATTATGTGTTTGCTATTTTACTGTTAATTTGGCACGTTCCCAATCCGAGCCAAAATCTCCCTTAATACTTCATTTCTTGGGCAAAGTGTCAGAGGAAAAATTATTCTCCATCGAATTTCATTGGGAGTCACAGAACAAAAGAAGTCTCTATTTCCATTGCGTATAAAAAATATGTCCATCAATTTAAAAAAATAAAAATATTCCCAAATTTTTTGAGCATTTTTTCCTCGGACTTTTTTAGAGTTGATCCCTAAAATTAAGATCAAATTCCATTTTAGGCTAAAAGTGTTAAAGAGAGAAATATTTTACACAAAATTTCATTATAAATCTCAGAATAGACCCTATATCTAGGAACAATAGTTTCTATGAAAATTACATTCAAAATTCGTGTACCACAAATGAATCTTATGTGTTTGCTGTTTTACTGTTTTTTTTTTTTAACACGTTTCCAATCCGAGCCAAAACCTCCCGTAATATTTCATTTTTTGGGCAAAGTGTCAAAGTTCTCCATCGAATTTCGTTGTTAGTCTCTGAAAAAACGAAATCTCTATTTTTATTGCGTATTAAAAAAATATGTCCATCAATGTTGCCAAAAAAACCAAAAATATTTCCATAATTTTTTGATAATTTTTTGCATGGACTTTTTTTTGAGTTGAACCTTAAAAGTAACATGAAATTTCATTTTAGGCTGAAAGTGTCAAAGGGAGAAATATTCTATGCAAAATTTTATTACAGATCTCAGAATAAACCCCATATCTAGGAACAATATTTTCTATGAAAATTACATTCAAAATTCGTGTACCACAAATGAAAATTATGTGTTTGCTGTTTTACTGTTAATTTAACACGAATGCAATCCGAGCCAAAATCTCCCTTTATACTTCATTTTTTGGGAAAAGCGTCAGAGGAAGAATTATTCTCCATCGAATTTCATTGGCAGTCTCCGAACAAAAGAAATTTGTATATTCAATGTGTACCATGAAAAAAAAGCATAAATTGTTGGTTATAAAAACCATTGTTTATTTCCGAGCACATTTTCTCAATTCGCTGCAAAGTATTCCCCTGCAAGGCATTGCCATTCTCCTCACAAATACATAACCCTTTTATACATTTCTATTTTAATCGGAACCCACCTACATTATCAATTTTATATCAAACAGAAGCAACTATTAGACAGCCTGAAAATTATTTTGTTTTTGCTGTTTATACTGACGCCCTAAAACGGCCTATTAGCTAACTGCGTCCATGATGTAAATGTCATTTTCATTGCTGCTACCTTTTTATTTTATTAAAATAATAAATAATTATTTGAGTTGATAAGGTGGGCAAATAAATAAAGCGTCTGTCGAGGATTTTGCACAGAAAACTGATCTACGCCTAGCCAACTGGCATTCGCATCGCTTTCGACTAGTATTAAAAAAATTTTACAACTACTTAAAACGTAACCGTTCATGAATGATTGTTACAACAACAACAAAAATGATCATGATCGTGGACAGGAAGGGGTTGGGAGGAGGTATCTCCCTCTTCTTTGTACTGTACAAAGAAAATGAAAATTTACAACCAGCCGCCAGTAAGAGCAGCAGCAGCTACGCCAGCTACAATGCAAAGAAGCCGACAGGCAACAACAAGTTGTTACCAAATGTGTTGTTGTGATTTTTTTTATTGCTTTTCTGTTTGTAAGCCAGCTTCAGCAATCAAAACTGTTGCCAATTTTTGTCAGTTTCAGTCGTTTTGAATTCAGCAAACAGGAAGGATCAGAAAAGCGGAAGAAAACAAAATAAACGGATAATAAAAAATTAAAGTTTTATCTATAAACGGTATTGAACCGCAACAAGTGATAAATAGTATCAAAAGTGAGTTTTAAATTTTAAAAAGATATTTTTTTTTAAATATTTTTAATATGTGGATTAAAAAAATATACTTTTTTTTAAAATTCGAAAAATTGAATTTTTTAAAAAATATTTTTTTCAATGGATCAACAATCATGGATTTATATAAAAAATATTTTTTCAAAAGCTTCTCTGAACGCTCATTTTATAAAAAAAATATTTTTTCGAAGGAACTTTTTAAAAAATATTTTTTCAAAGTAGCTACAAACGTGGATTTTTTAAAAAATATTTCTTCGAATGATCAACAAACGTGGATTTTTTAAAAAATATTTTTTCGAAGGATGAACAAACGTGGATTTTTTAAAAATTATTTTTTCGAAGGATCAACGAACGAGGATTTGTTAAAAAATATTTTTTCAAAGGATCAACAAACGTGGATTTTTTAAAAAATATTTTTTCGAAGGATCAACGAACGAGGATTTGTTAAAAAATATTTTTTCAAAGGATCAACAAACGTGGATTTTTTAAAAATTATTTGTTCAAAGCTTAAAGCAACGTGCTTTTTTAAAAATTATTTTTTTCAAAATATTAACAAACGTGGATTTTTTAAAAATTATTTTTTTTTTCAAAATATCAACAAACGTGGATTTTTTAAAAATTATTTTTTTTTTTCAAAATATCAACAAACGTGGATTTTTTAAAAATTATTTTTTTTTCAAAATATCAACAAACGTGGATTTTTTAAAAATTATTTTTTATCAAAACGTGGATTTTTTAAAAATTATTTTTTTTTCAAAACGTGGATTTTTTAAAAAATATTTTTTTAAAATATCTACCAACGTAGATTTTTTAAAAAATATTTTTTCAAAATATTCAACAACGTGGATTTTTTAAAAATTATTTTTTCAAAATATTCACCAACGTGGATTTTTTAAAAATTATTTTTTCAAAATATTCACCAACGTGGATTTTTTAAAAAATATTTTTTTAAAATATCTACCAACGTGGATTTTTTAAAAAATATTTTCTCAAAGTTTAAGGCAATGTGGATTTTTTAAAAAATATTTTTTTAAAGTTTAAGGCAATGTGGATTTTTTAAAAAATATTTTTTTTTAAAGTTTAAGGCAATGTGGATTTTTTAAAAATTATTTTTTCAAAGGATCAACAAACGTGGATTTATTTTAAAAAATATTTTTTCAAAGTTTAAGGCAATGTGGATTTTTTAAAAAATATTTTTTTTCAAAGTTTAAGGCAACGCGGATTTTTTAAAAAATATTTTTTCGAAGCTTCAACAAACGTGGATTTTTTTAAAAAATATTTTTTCAAAGTTTAAGGCAATGTGGATTTTTTAAAAAATATTTTTTTTCAAAGTTTAAAGCAACGTGGATATTTTAAAAAAATATTTTTTCTAAATATAATGCAACGTGGATTTTTTAAAAAAATATTTTTTCTAAATGTAAAACAACGTGGATTTTTTAAAAAATATTTTTTATAAATGTAAAGCTACGTGGATTTTTTAAAAAAATATTTTTTATAAATGTAAAACAACGTGGATTTTTTAAAAAAATATTTTTTATAAATGTAAAGCTACGTGGATTTTTTAAAAAAATATTTTTTCTAAATGTAATGCAACGTGGATTTTTTAAAAAATATTTTTTCAAATATTTTTCGAATTTTAAAGCAACTTGATTTTTTTTAAAAAATATTTTTTCAAATATTTTTCAAATTTTAAAGCAACTTGAATTTTTTTAAAAAATATTTTTTTTTTTTTTTCAAATTTTAAAGCAACGTGGATTATTTTTAAAAATATTTGTTCAAATTTTAAAGCAAAGTGTTTTTTTTTAAATATTCTTTCAAAGTTTTAAGCAAGGTGGATTTTTTAAAAAATATGTTTTCAAAGTAGCGACAAACGTGGACTTTTTAAAAAAAATATTTTTTCAAAGTAGCGACAAACGTGGATTTCGCTAAAAATATTTTTTTAAAGTAGCGACAAACGTTGGTTTTTTAAAAAATATTTTTTTTCAAAATATTCAACAACGTGGATTTTTAAAAAATATATATTTTTTTCAAAATATTTAACAATGTGGATTTTAAAAAAATATTTTTCAAAATATTCAGCAACGTAGTTTTTTTCAAAGTATTTTATCCAAAATATAATTGATGTGGATTTTTCAAAACATATTTTTTCCAAAATTTTAAAAACGTAGATTTTCTTAAAATAATCTATCCAAAATTTCATTAATGTACATTTTTTAAAATATTTTTTCCAAGAAAATATTTTCCTAAGCATTTAAAAAAATAAATCTATAAATTAATTAAATTCACACATCCACATCTGAATAAATAATTATTTATTTGTAATTTTTTGTTTGCAATACAAATCTTAATTCATATCAATTTCAAATTACAAACAAAAAAACGAAAACAGCACCAAACTGCACGATTTGTTGTCCTCACTTGCCTGTGTATTAGATATTACCATTAATTTACAATAATTTAAACATTAGATTAAATTAAACGGTGGTTTACAAAAAAATTAAGGCCAGCCGGGCAATCTAATTTGAATACAACGACATATGACTGAAAAAGAAAAACGTGAGGGCTTCGACGTGAAAAATTCCAAAGGAAAAAAACTAACTAACTAACTACAAACAAATTGTTATCATTTTAACCAATTGCATTGGTAAGGGTGAATACCCAATAGAGCATGGAACTTGTTGGGGTACTAGGCATTAAGAACCAATAATTACCAATAAAATATGGCTAGCAATGTGGAATTAGCAAATAAATATATTTTTGGGAATAATTTTATCCCTTTCCATTCTGAAGCCAATATCTACCACAATTCTCAATTTTAGCAAACATAAGAAATCTGTGGAAATAATATTTATCCCAAAAACACTAGTTACTACTTGGACTAGTGCCATGCTCCCACCTACCCTTTAGAATTTTCGTGCCAACTTCAAGTTAACCTTAATTTTACTTCTGTTTCATGTTTCATTTTTTTTCTTCAAATCAACGATAAGTGATTTCCACTTACACGGAGTTGAGTATTTTCTAATATTAAATGGTGTTTTGAAAAAAAAAATTGAAAAAAAATCCCCTCACTCCCATAGGTGGAGTTATTCAAGAATATTACAATGCCAATGTTGAGAGGTAATGAAAACTGCCAAGGTTAAACGTGAATCTGTAAACAAATGCAGCAACAACAACAACAATACGAAAAAGACAACAAACAACAATTCATTACCAAGAACATGAGGAAGATAATATCTAATAATCAGCCCGCCTTTTTTTAAACGCCAGATGATGACAGTAATTATGCTGAGAAAAATTAATTTCCGATATTCAAAGTATGGGATGATATTACTTTGGAGATAATAAAATTGTTTTGAGATTCAAAATTGAAAATTATGGAAATTTTAGGAAGATCGAATATTTCACAGTTTGCAAATGAATTTTGAGTCATGAAGAAAGTCATTAATTTATACGATGTGGATGGAAAAGAGATTTCTGGAAAGTGCCTCAAAAATAAACTCAAGAGAGATTTTCAAAATAATAACACTATTTTATTATTAAATATTATATCTACAGATTTCTTTTGAATGGTGACCCATAGTAGAATTTTGTGGGGAATATTTTCTCCCTTAACAGCAATCCTCTAAGTTCATGTTTTCTAGGAGATTTTGGTCCGAAATGATAATCACTATTAAATTTGCCAGAAATAAATATAACCGTATCTAAACAATATACCCATAGTAGTAACCCCATCCTCTAAGTTCATGTTTTCTAGGAGATTTTGGTCCGAAATGATAATCACTATTAAATTTGCCAGAAATAAATATAACCGTATCTAAACAATATACCCATAGTAGTAACCCCATTTTATTGTTAAATATTATACCTACAGATTTCTCTTGAATGGCGACCCATAGTAGAACTTCATGTAGAATATTTTCTTCCTTAACAGCAGTCCTCTAAACCCATGTTTTCTAGGAGATTTTGACCCAAAATTAAAATAAGTATTAAATTTACCGGAAATAAATATAACAGGGTCAAATAATATACCCAAAATAATAGCCCTATTTTATAATTAAGTATTAAATCTACAAGTTTCTCTTGAAAGATGACCCATGGTAGAATTTTAAGGGGGAAATATTCGGCTTTAACTTTTATCCTCTAAACCCATGTGTTATTGAAGATTTTGAACGAAAATTAAAATAATTTTTAAATTTACCATAGATAAAAAATTTACATTTTTTGTCAGATTTATAGCTAATTTTTAGGGATAACTGTTATACCAACAAAATTCATTTATTCAGTGGTTTATAGGGAAATTAAGTCTAGAATATTTTTTTCATTGACACTGTCGCACTAAAATTATGAACAGTGGGACAGATTTACTACTTCTCAAAAATAACGCCAAAATTAGACCAAAAAATTGAATCGATAAACAGTTGATTATATAGCCAAATTGAAGAGCTTATTTTATATATAAGTATCATATCTACAGATTTCTTTTGAATGGTGACCTATAGTAAAATTTTATGAGGAATATTTTATCCCTTAATACCAATCCTCTACATCCATGTTTTCTACGAAATTTTGACTTAAACTGAAAATAACTATTAAATTTAACGGCATCTCAACTATATACCCAAAGTAGTATCCCCATTTTATCGTGAAATATTATACCTTAAGATTTCTTTTGAATAGTGAAACTTAGTAGAATTTTAAGGGGAACATATTCTTCCTTAACAACAGTCCTCTAAACCCATGTTTTCTGTGTGATTTTGAGCCAATATTAAAATAATTATGAAATTTACCCAAAATAAAAAAATATTCTTTTCTCGATTTACAGGTAATTTTTAGCGATAACTATCAAACCTACAACATTTATTTATTCAGTGACTCATAGTGAAATTTTGTCTAAAATATTTCTTTAATTGACATTGTTGCGCCAAAATGAGTTACAGTGGGACAAATTGGCTACTTTTCAAAAATAATGTCAAAATAAGGCACAA